TCTGAGAGTGACATCGACATGGAAAATAAATAATAGTAAAAGTCTACAAATAATGAAAGAATGTTGTTGCCACGACGTCGTGTTGATTTTTTCCTTCGATAGGAAAAAAGCATTATGTGAATAAAAAATAGTTTGTGTAGTGATATTGAAGTTTTCAATGACAATTGATTCGGTTTCTTTTTTGAACAGAGTACACCTTAGTATGCTTTCCTTGGTACTTTGATAAAAATGGCCCAAATGTACATAAATGATGATGGGTTTTTTGAATTAATAATACTAATAGTTGCAAACAGATATGTTGGTCACAAGAACATGCAAAAAAAGTTAGAGAGCCATAGTGAAAAAAAAACTAACTTTTCATATCGTTTATGATATAGTAATACTTCAATATGAACTTCTCAACAGTTTCACATCATTATTTAATCTGGAATGCGAATATTTCATTGAGACATTTCATGAGAAAATGGGAAATTATACTTTTTTTGCAAATAATTTGATATTTTCTATAGTTGCAAGTTGTTATTGATAGAAAAGATTATAGATAAGACGTCGATAATATAAGAACTTGAACTGGAATTTCAATGAAGTCGATTACAGTTCACAATTCGTGGATCAATGTCATACTCAGTCAAACACTCTCATGAAAATCGAGTGTCCTTCGTATGTGTTGTCTTGTAGTTTGTCTTAAAAAATTCCTACATGATCTTATTCAACAATTTGTTATGGGATATTTTTTATGATCGGAATACAAATGCTTTAGATAATTAAAATATGTAAGAATTTCATTTTGCATTATGATTATATATTTGCCTACTATCCATATGCTTTAATAAAAGAAAATATCAAAGAATTTATCAAACTGAAGAAATTTTATACAAACTATAGTTCAGAATAGGTACTTGACTCAGTTCCATTTCTAGACTTTTCTTTATCATCTAAATCGAAACAAAAAAGACTTGTCAGAAGAAACCCTTTGTGACGGAAAGCGGAAACTCACATATACTTTTTAGATTGATTACACTAGTCTGAAATATGTAAAGAAAAAGATCTCTCGTAGAGTGTATTTCTTTGTATAACATAATCAATCATCAGAGTAAGAATCTGTCTTATTTATTTCTGCATTAAGAACAGAATTTGTTTCTTTTTTCTTACAACGCCTCAATTTTTGTTTGCCTTGTTGCATTTCCCTCTTCATTTTTCATTTTCGTACTTCGTTTTTCTTCAACAAATGCACTATTTAGAACATTCACCAACATATTTCAGGCATTCATATTTTCTACGGAGGGTGTGGGTGTGAAGTGCATATGGATGGGATGAAGACGAAGCGGGGCACGGTAGTTCCACTCCCACACCCATAATATGCTTGACTCATCCTATTTTTCTATAATAAATTGGATTATATGCTGACATTGACAATATTAATGTGAGCAAAGAGATAGTAGTATGGGTGGTCAGGTAACAAACAAAAGATAAGAGTATCGTACTTCGAACTACCTTGAGAAGGCAAATGATATCTACATGTGATATATCATTCTCGTTTCTATTTCGCTGCTAGTGGCCCTCTAATATATCATTGTATGCTAGTACCAACAGACTATAACAAGAGAAAGAAAAAGAATAATTATAGTCCCTGCTTTTTTTCGCTACACGACTATACCCAGGTTCGTAAAAATGAAGAACCTTACGGCACCGTTTACGACACTTAATGGTAAGAATACAATTTAAGTTTCGACGTTTGCTGTGAAACTACAAATATGTAGAAAAATCCGAAAGAATCGAAACGAAGAACAAGGAATAGTATGTTCTTTCCCGATTAATATTTCTTTTGTTTCTTCATTATGAATTTACATGTGCACTGACCGGACAGTTGTCGACGAAGAGTTTCTGTGTTTTACCTCCTGCTGTTACGCATACCATACTTCCAGATATATCTCTTCGTCAACACTAACAAGTGCTACAGATGCAATCGAGTGCGCAGAAAACATTGGCCTTACAAGCAAAAATAAACAAAATGGCTGAACCCTTTGAGAACGATGAGATTGACCACGTTGAATATCTCGAGAGGCTCTCTGTGGTTCAGGAACGGATCCAGGTGGCAGTAAGTGCAACTGTATTCACCTTCAGACTGGGTTTCACTTTTTTTTCTTGCTGTTTTCTTCGGAAACTTTGCATTATCGCATTCACACCCACTTCAAAAACTTCGGAATTCGTCACGGTGTTGGTGACTCAACAACTATTCAACTGTTGCACTTCTCTACACATGTTGTATGTTTTTCTTGTTCAATATATATATTTTTGCCTTGAATATATTGTTAGATCTTATTGACTTTGTTCAGATTTTCTTCTCCAGATTATGCTTTCTAGAGTTTTTCTTTTCGAATTTTTGTTTTCCGGATATTTTCTTTTCCGTTTTTCTTCTCTCCGAAGTTTTCATTTCTGGATGTTTTCGACAATACCGAAACTACAGTCCGTTATGGTACCGTCTTTTCCGATCAAGACAGAACTAATAATACGGTCGTATCTGTTCGTACTGTACAAGATGAGATAAACTGACCGTTTACGATTTTGTACAATAGCCGTATGCGGACTGTGTTTTCATCGTTTACGGTGGTAAATACATCGTTTTCCCGTCATTTATAGTTAATTTTTACCCTGCTGTTCCAATTGTATAGTTGACATGCAACCATAGACTCGAATTGATGTGCCATCACTAATCAGACAGACACGAATCGCCAAAAACGCGTTTTTAGCTATTCGTCTCTACCTGGGTAGAGATTAACGGGGAGAACCTGATCCTGTCGAGATCGTGGCGGGATCGGAGTTGAGAATCAATAATTTAGAGTATTCTTCAAGAAAATTTTTTGTTTTACTCGCAACATTCTAAGAAAAAAAAGCGCATGGCGAAACCTTACAAGATTCGGATCGTGGGTACCTTTTCGAAACCCTTTGAAGTTATCGTACGAAGCCTTTAAAGAGTTTCGGAAATTTGCCCATGATCAGAACTTTTTAAAGTTTCTTAATGCACCTTTTTTGCTTAGAATGAAACGAAGAAAAGCGAAGAAGAGAAAGGAGAGACGAGGGTAGCTTGTTATTGTTTGTCTCAATTTATTTTCTTTAATTAACTACCAGTCAAAACTTGTCTACACGTCTTTGTCAACATAATGCCGTACATATAAGATGTTACCTTTTTATGAGGAAAAAATCGCGTCTTTTCGGAGTTGAGGTCGAGACGAGGGTCAAATCAAAAATAATTTCGGATTTTCGGGCGACATTCGGAGCTAAAAGGTTTGACCTCGCTGATCCCTAGTCATCATTAACTCACTACAGTGATCTTATGTCACTTTAGACAAACAGATTGAATACCTCACTGGAGTGACGAAGATTAGGTTTGAACCAGAATACGAGCTATTTGAAGTCGGATATGCGTACTGTTGACCTAGATATGTTTGGAATATTATTGCGTAGAAGTGCACCCATATTTTTTACTCTGATGAAAAAGGAATAACTGTACTGATGGAAAAATTTTTTCATGAAAACCGCGGCTATCTGCAGCACTACGTATGGCGGTTTTCAACAGTCTAACTGAACTGCAAAAGTCAGACTGTTTATTAGGTTTATATGCATCAGCACAAATCGTGCTTTCGTGCGGTACAAAAAAACTGATAAACGCTCTGATTTTTGCGACTTGGTCAAACAGGTAAATACCAGGGTTACTATGCAATACGGTTTCAGATAGCCCATAAGAACCTAAGAAACAACCTGATTTCCGCAGTTTTTTACCTGAATCAATCGAGCTGACTCAGGCTAACTAGCTTCATCTAAACTTTATGCAAATTTCAAGTGGATTGTTCATCGAGGAACTGTGATGAAACTTTGAGAAATCTAATTATGTTCTAAATCACATTGAGTGACAGCGAATCATCGTCAAAAAGTGTCATGAGATATCCCATGGGTGAGTGGTGTATGATATCTCCTCTGTTCTTACACCTTCCCTCTATACTTTGTTCGCGTATAACGCGAGAGCTATTGTGAACAGTGCGGTGTACCAAACCGTTAGATACCGTGGTGCTTGATAGCGTAATTCAGATTATGGTTAACGAGATATACAAAATTTGTTGAAAACCAAGGTACTGGATATCGCGGGTTATTTGCACAGGAATTTATCCTTTTGTAACCGCGGTTCTACCTTTGCTGGAGCAACAATGCCGCTAGGCCAAGACGCGATTTTTAAAAAACCCGTGATTTTGGTCGATACTTCCAACCGCGGTTTTATTAACACAATTTTCCGTGGGTACAGGTCGCATACACTAAAAAAAATAAGTATTGTACGAAAATTTAAAAAGTTTCGGTGAAGGTATGAAACGTATAAAAGATCTTCCAACGAATATATGGGAAGAGCCTTTTGTATCAAATCTTTAAGTTCGGTACAGTTCTTATTTTTTTTATAGTGTAGTATAATGAGCATAGGAAATGAACTATTGTCATCATATTCATGATAACAGAAGCACACCAAACTACATATTCAAGTTAAGAGTTAGCCAATGGAGACTTAAAAGATCAATATTTGATTACTCAAAGAGATGTTATTTTCATAAAAATATACTAATTTATATTAAAGTGAATTGGAACATTATTCAAAATATTTTTTGTTATTTTCTATTTTCTTCATGAGCTCAGGAACAAAATGCATTGCTATACACTTTATTTTTATATTTTTGGAATGCAAATATCGAATTTCTTTGCACACTCCCGCTAACGGTAGTTTGTAAAAGGTCTCCGTAAACGTACCATATTTCTCTATCCTTATGCTGCATACGACCATTCGTTTACGACCATCGTTACGATTACTGTATTTCACTGTATCTACATCGTTAACGGCTGTTTACTTTATGTTTTCTTCGATCTAGATACACATCTCAATAAACCCTTCATATACACGTCTTGGTTTTTCTTCTGCTGTTGACCTCAGGTCGTTTTGACAAAACGATTAAGCAAAGAAGATGACGCATCTCACTACCGATAAAGATCAACTCGTGTTTGGCTATTGGGCAGCTCGTGGTCGGGGTGAACCATCACGATTGCTGCTTCACTATACTAAGACACCTTTTACTGATAAAATGTATCAAATGGGTGATGCTCCTGAGTACAACCGCGATGAATGGCTCAACGAAAAATATCAACTTGGTCTGGGTGAGTTTATACATTCATTCTCTATCACTAAATTTAGTCATCTGCGTAGATTTTCCAAATTTACCCTATCTGATCGATGGAGAGGTTAAGCTTACACAATCCAATGCTATCTTATACTATCTCGGTCGTCAACATAATCTCATGGGCAATAATCCAAAAGAAGAAGCTCTGATTATGATGCTCTGTGAACAAGCTTATGATCTTCGTTCAATATTCGCCATGCTCTGCTATGGTCCTAATGGAGATTCACCAAATGAACAAAAGAAATTTCTTGAAACGACTCTTACAAAAAGCCTAGAACAATTTGATGCTTATTTTAGCAAGAATAAGAACAAGTTTGCCGTTGGTGATCAACCAACTGTGGCTGATTTTCAAGTATTTTATTATGTTGATTGTTCATGTTCGTTCGATGGTGGACGTGCCTTGCTCGACAAATACATAAATGTGAAAGAATTTCTTCAAAGAATTCGTGAATTGCCTGAATTGAAAGATTACATCATCAAATCACAAGCTCAATTGCCAATGCATCTCAAACGTGAGTATCAAGGCCACAATTACGTGTGTTTACTATGTGTATGTATTTTTCGTCTTTATTCTAGATGCTAAGTTTGGAGCTAAAGTAATCGAGCAAAAGTGAATCAAAAGTGTATGCTGACGTCGAGAGTTTTGATAACAAAAATCGGCTTTTAGAAATATACTAATGTGATTATAAAAAATACGAGCCATATCTCGCACACAATATTTGTCTTATTTGAAATAATAATAACTATTTTCAAAAAGACTTTTTTTTTTCAGACACCATTATCATTGCTTCTATTCTATTCTCATATTTTGTCGTAAATTTTTGCAGTTGTCAGAAGAATTCTGATGACAATGTCACAACGGAAACTTCTTGTTAGACTTTATTTGAAAGAATGTTAAAATTAAATATAAAACCTGTTGTTAGCATGTGGGGGGGGGGGGGGGGGGGGGGGGGGGGGGGGGAGAGGTGCGTGTGCGTGTCAGATGTGTGGATTTGGGTTAGTAAATAAAAGATCCATATCCATTCCCACCTCCATCCCCACATCCCACATCCCCAACCCACACCCACACCCTTCTTTTTTGAAAAGAATCTCATGATAATGTGATGCAGCAGAAAGAATACAGAGAGAGCCTGTCAAGCTATTTTATTCATACAAAAAAAAATGATTAGAATAATCCTTAGACTTCCACACTGTTTTGTAAAGAAATAAAAGAAAAATAAAGACTACGACGTATTTGTTGTCAAGAAAAATGCTTTTTTACATGGCCACACCAGCTCACGACCGCCTTGTGGCACGAGGACAACATTTGGTTGATGACTTCTTCGAGACTAAAATTCGAACACAAACTTTAGAAACCAGATTGTCAGTATTATTATCATAGGGAAGCAAATTCTTTTCGCCTATCAAACTCTCCATCCATCGTCGATTAAAATTGAAATTAGGCTCAGCTCGGACTGCAATTAAGCCTTTGTTTTCATCTCGTAATTTATTGGTAGAAATTGCGTAAGATAATTCTTGAAATTTATTACTGTTTTCACCATAGGCTGTTGATACTATAGGCATAATAAGTGTTGCAGATTTAATCACTGGGACTACATATTCCCATATGTCGTCCCAAGATTCCACATGTTCATAATCGACCCAAGTAGGTATTGTTATTTTCTTGCGTAACTCGCTCACAAAGTTTTCGCAAAATATCTTATCAGTTCTATCATAACTGATGTAGATCATCGGTGACTTTTCTTTTTTCAATTGGTTCGATGATCTTTCTTGCTTAAGGTTGTACCAGATTCGTTTGGCTTCATCTTGTTTTGGACGCTTGGCAAGACTTTCGATGATTATGCAAAACGGATTGATGTCAGTTAATTCTTTCTGGTACTCTGGGTAATTGGAAATGTGTAACAGAATTTTAAGTAAATATTTTGCAGCACGTTTTTCGAGGTCATGCGCGTCTCTATCCAGCAATGCTCCATATATAGATAAGAGATATTGTGCAAAGAACTCGATCGGCTTTGGTTCATCATTCGGGTCACCACCTAGAATATTTTTTATTACGTACGTGTTCGAAAAAGCACGATGTAATAATTCCAGCAATTCCGACAGATGGCATCCATTGTACCGTAAATCGTCGGCGTTACTAGTATTCTTACACCATCGGTACAAAGTTTTACTGATCCAAAGAATGAATTCTTTGTTTTCTTCTGGTTGCTCATCGCTTGTAGTTACTGCAATCAATGCCATACCAAAGGATAGTTTTAGGTTTTCATCATTTTTACCATCGACTAACGGCTTATATTTCATCAAAATATCGAATGTACTTTCCTTGCGTAGTTGTTCCAAACCTGTCTTGTCTCTCGACAAATTATGAATAATAGAAAATATTGGGTCACCCAGTTTGTTGATATGAAATGCAAAACGATCTGTGCAAACCCACCGGATTGTCATTTCAACGCAACCAACTTTAACGAGCAATGGAACAAGAGTAATTTTGTCAGACAGGTTCCATATAAGAGTTAAAATGCTAGTTATTACTTCTAATAGTATTGAAGAACTGTGCTTCTCTATATCGATCAGATATTTATGAACAAATGTCAACAGAGTGCTAATAACAAAGTGGTAATTTTTTTCAAATTCATAAGTCGATCGTAAGACTGCTGGAAAAGTAAAAATACACGCATCTTCCATGTATTTTTGGATAAGTTTTCCAAAATCGATGATCTCTTGTTCTGAGCATTGTTCATTATTTGTAACAGAATCTAAACGATTGGAAATATTATCACTATGCACTATGTTTACTATATATTGTCTATTTTTCATTGGTTTTTATTATATAGTCTAACTTCTTGTGGACACAGCCTTTCAACGTATGCCAAAATTTATACCCTCTTCGAACTACTCTAGCCATCGTATAGATCACTAATCACATCTTAAGGCATTTTGTTGCTCATCTCTAATAAAGCAATCAGATTGAAATAATTCATGCAGAAGCGTTCTTCTTTAGATATGGTTGTTAGGTTCATGTTTTGGTATAACTTTGGATGTTACTGTGGCTGTCAGTGAAGAGAAAATCAACACTAATACCCATACATGTTCTCAATTAAACCGTATTTCGATACAAATTTTAAGTTATCAAGTGAATATAGACAGCTCAACACTAAGAAACATAAAAAACATTACCTATGGTTGAAGCCGTCTGATTTGAAAGAAATCGTTCGAGGCATCTTTTAAGAAGGTCATCTTCAGCAAGGTTCATAAGAATTGAATCTAGCACGTCGCTGACATACTCTTGATAATTACCTGGCTTTTCATTAATAATATCTTCTAAGTAAGCGAATACTTTATGAGCCATTGATTGAAAAGATGTTCGTAATATTATTAGACCAGATTCATTGAAAGTACAGATGCGAATAATTATGTTGAATACCGTAATGAGAAACATTGCGCGTCTCTGAGGAATCATTCTGTCAATTGTATCTTTCAGATTTTTATTTACGTAATCCAAGATTCCGTCTATCTTGTAGAGATCCAAGGTGTCTTCCGTTGCATTACGACGTCTATTGGAGTCAGTTAATAACTTTAAAATCTTGTCAATTTCTTGAAGAAGTTTGAAATAATTAGGCGTTTTTCTTGCTAATTGGTTTGAATTTATTTTTTCTGAAGCCGTTGAGTCGTTTTCGGTCATCTAAAACAGAGAAGCATCACTAATCCATGCATATGAGATTAATTCATCCACTTTTCTTTCAATCATTGCCTTTTCTAACACATTTCTTTCCTCAGTTTCCCATTGATTACAAGTAGCAAATATGCGTTTCATGACAGTAGCTCGTTTCAGATTCAACGGGAAGAAAGAAAAAAAAAACAAAATAAGAGAGAAATGCAAGTTTTTGCTTGAATATTACAAAGGAAAATTAACAGCGAGAGAAATAACTCTTACTCGATAAAAGAAACAAAAACGCTCGTTAAAAGAAATGGTGCATCAAAAAAAAATTCTAGTGGTCCCTGACTGTATTCAATTCTGCCGGTATTTGCATCGCATCTGTAGCAAGAACAGAAAAGAATATGAGAAATGCTTCTTCTTTCCATTTCTATTGACATTAAAATTGCACATGTTTACTCTGCAAAAAAAATGACACTGCCGCATAACTTTTCTTTTCATGTCAAAGAATAGTTTGCATGTGTTTCTTTTTCTTCTGTTGCGCTAGTAAGAAACAGTAACCTCCCAGTCAGATTTTCTACAACAAAGACAAGCAATATCGAAACATGAACCTAGCAACTGGTCATAATTCAACATCTAATGATGTATGTGATTTGCAGTTCTTTCTTTTTTTCTTATTTTGTGCTCTGTTTTTAATATCCATGATAAGTCGGTTCTTTCGAGTGGTGCCATGGATCGATTGAACTTTCAGATACGAACATGTACGACGTTCGTCCCAAAAGAGTAAGATCATCTGACTTTTTGAACTTTCTCATAATAAAATGTTACTTAATCACTTAGAACAAATAGGGAATGTTGCGTCTGCAACTATCATCATTCTGAAAGTGAAGCGTCTCCGTTTATCAAAACATGGGATTTAGAATCGCACACTAAGAAAGAAGGTTGTAAGTGGTATGGAATACTACCTCAATTAAAACGTCCTGTACGTTATGGAGTTGTCTAATAAAACGAAATAATTTCGCTTCTTTTTTATCTTAGTATTTACGATGTGACATTAAGACAGAACTCGATCAACTCTGCTTAGTGTTGTTAGGGATATGGGATATGCCCGTACCTGGTCTTATCATGCGAATGATGAGTGATGTAGACTCGACGCCGAACATTAAAATAGAGAAAGAATTCTTACAAGCTATTTCGGATGCTGCTGTTGCATCGGGTAAGTCTAAGTAGTCACTAAGACTTATAAAAAAAAACATTGTCGGATTCTAGATGCATGGATTATAACAAGTGGTTACAAGGAAGAGAACATTTCAGAATTGATCGGTGAAATAGTTTACAAGAGTCAGATAAAAAATTCTGAGATAAATTTCAGTGCAATAGCTGTTGGTAAATGGGGCAACATTCACGATTGTCACAAACTTGAAGACAGGTTTGATAAATCCATGTTTTACAAAACATCTTCTAATATAGTCTATTGTTGACTATTCAAATCTTTGCTCATAACTTTCTTTTATCGCATCGATGCTCGATCGTATTCTTCTAGGAGTCTTGTCAACCAGTCCTCAACGTATAAAGGACATGGACGATACAAGCTAGAATCAAACCACACACACTACATTTTTTTCGATGATGGTACATGTGATTCGTTGGATACTGGTGAATTCGCTTCAAATCTTGCTCGAGAAATATCACGTGGAGCAAGACGCAAAAGTTAGCATTTCCTTGAGCATATAATTCATAAAATTTTTCAGCATATTTGTGTTTTTTAAATTTAGTACCATTAATCACTGTTCTAGTCGGAGGTACTCTTCATGCAGTTCCATCAATATTCACTGATTTACAGAGACGAATTCCAGTTGTTATTGTCGAAGTAAGTCATACATATTTAAAAAAAAAACAACAAATATTAAATTTTCTTTGAATTATGGAGGGAAGTGGACAGTTGGCTGACATATTATGTAAATACCTGAAGTTAACTGAAAGTAAGTGAACTTTTTTGAGAACATCCTTTAATTATTTAAAGTATATGTGATAAGCATACTTCTGTTCGTAAACAATCATAATATCTGAAGACTTCAAGGAAGAAATAAGTATGAAAGTCTTGAAAGTGTGCGCAGTAATTTTTGCTCCACTGCATGGATTGCTGATGAGGTTTTTTAAAATAACGTTAGAAAAATAAGCTTCAGCATCATCCAACATCATTCTCAATCAAATAATATAAACTCTAGGTTGATATTGAAACACAGTCACTGCTTGCCGCTAGAAATTTAAGCTGAATCGTTGTCGTTTGACGATGATTCTTTCAAGATAAAGCACACATATCGTCGTCACCACCCAAGAAAACTATTATTTCGCAAAAATGAGTTTAAACTCAGTGTTCGTGGTCCCTGTTTGAGAGATTTCATGCTCGTTGAGAAAACACTGAAAGTTAAGTTACACTAGTAAATTCTTCATCGTGATAGGTGAGAATCGCAAAACACATACCAGATAATGTATCTCTTAAGAAAGTATCTGTAAATGGTTCTAAGCACTACATCAGAAAAGCCACAAATCATACTGCATTCGAAAGTTCAAAATCAAGAGTATATTGCAATGAATGATGCTACGCGGACATACGTAATTGTTGACAAAAGATTAAAGTTTTCAACGAGTCTTCAAATGTTTTTATTGAAGGTTTTTATAAATCATCCAACATTGCAAATGAGCTGATCAATGATCAAGATGAAATATTTAGTGACCATGAAGACGATGCGGATATAGCAATGATTAATGAAGAGTTTTCACAAGATGATGCTGTAAATTCACCTTCATCGACTCAAACCACGTAAGTTTGAAAATCAAAACGACTCATGGTAGATATGTCATTCTTATGCATAGACCGAGAGAAATTTGGCGATATCTCGGAAAAAATCGTCTCGAATTTGCTAATGATGTGCGAAAGCTTTACAGTATGATCCGCCAAGAAGAGCATGAAGCCAAAGGCAAGAGGCTACCTGTGGGTGAACTCTTGAGTTTGGATGAAGAAAAATCTTATCGACAATATTTATTTAAACTTGCCACTTGTCTTACAGCTGCTTTTCGAGAAAATATTTATGTTTTCAATATCAATACATCGAAATCTTTGAAGGATACAATTTATCATGGTTTCATTCAAGGTAAGCCGGTAGAAATAATCACATCTTTTAATAAGAATTCCAAGAAGAACCAAGGAACGGAGTCGCTAAATTTCTTCAATGTTTACAAAAAGTTGAGTTTCTTCATGGTTCTTTTCCTTCACATGATAGAGAATGGACGGCTGTCTCTTGCAAAGCAAAAAATAAGATTTTTCTAAGCAGTAGTAAATGTGAGTTCCATAAAAAAAAAAGTTCTGTGATACACTTTTCTTTGTTAGCAAGAGACAATCTTTCACGGACTAACACGTTTCACACGACTATCAATGATCAAGTACATCTAGCACTTCGCTGGAGCATTGCCTATACTACTGAAAACCGGTCAGTGGCTTCTGCAAGGATATGGAATGATACCACTAAAGTAGGTTATTTATTAGGTTCTTTGCATCTGTTAAAATACACTGGTTTCATTCTAGATTGCAGAAAACCGATTGCTTCTGATCGATGCACTCAGTAAAAATTTGCTTGTATTCGTCAGTAATTTCGTCAAACTCGACGTTGACATTGCTGTTTTGTTTGGTCCTGCCAGTAGTTCATTAACAGTAGCTAACAATAGTTGGTCTTGCAAACATCAGTATTTGAAAGAATTGTACTCGGAGACAAGGCGCAAAAATGTAAGATATGCGACTTTGAATTGAATGTTCAGATTCCAGATAACTTGTTTTTTTATGCAGAGGCATCCATTGTACTTACTTGATCAGATCAGTACAAAACTTAATTTCAAAGAGGAAAATCATTTAGCTATTGTTTTCAAAAATCTGGTAGGTGATTTGATGAATCCAATTTACGAGGATCAATCAAAACTTGGATCGATACCGTTAAAATTAGAAGGAAATATTAATATAGAGACGATGGATGCTGAATATATTTATCGCGACCTCTTTCTATGGTGTGTGCTAACCTACCGACTTGAAATGGCCAAAATTTTTCTGAGTCAAATGAAAACCCGTATTTGCTCAGCACTGATTGCTTCGAAAATCTTAAAATCGCTAGCAACCTATGCACCAGATCAAGTTACAAAAGAGATAATGTTTTCTAAAGCGGCCGATTTCGAAACTCATGCTATCGAATTCGTACGGTGTTCGTACTTGTATGACAAGTATCAAACATGTGAATTGATTATGCGACGTGTAGATCTCTATGGAGGTATCACATGTCTTCAAATGGCCATCGCCGCAGATAATAAGAAATTCATACATGAAGATGCTTGTCAAGCTCTGTTAACGAATATATGGTATGATAAAGTCGATCCTGTTAGAGAGCAAACTCGTCTTGTTGTCAACATATTTACGTTGGGAATCTGGCAACTTTTCGTATCGATCTATGAGAAACGCTTTTCTAAACATTCTGTGAAAACACACACGACTTATGTAGGTTAAAAAAGTCTGCACAATACATATATAACTTTTTCTTTTCGTTGATAGATGACCACATCAACACATGCAAAACGACGGTAAGTATTTAATATAACTAACCAAAATTCAATACAAAAATAACTTAGATTGAAAAAGAATGGCATCGATTACACAGACGATTATGGCATCAATGAAACAGTACTCCAAAATTTTTTCCATTTTCACAATCGACCCGTTGTGAAATATTGCTATACTTGTGTAAACAAAATTTAGTGTAGTGATGATTTTTATTATATTCTTATATGAACTATTGTAGTTTGGCTATGTCCTCTTCCTGCTCTTCTTCAGTTATTATATGCTTTATGCATTTGGTCCACCTTCAACCAGCACTCCTACTATTCATTGGACTGAAATATTAACTATCATCATCGTAACTACCATGCTCTTCGAAGAAATTCGACAGGTCAGTATTTATCCTTTTATTACAACTATACTAAATCTATGTCTTTGGCTTATTAGTTCTTCTCTCAAGACTATTCATCAC